GGCGGGGAGAAGGGTGCAACAATGAATGAATGGAATTCCAAAATCTCTGTAGATGTTCATTGAAATGAAAAATAAATAATTTTTTTAAAAAATTTTAAAAAAGAAAGGGCATATCTCACTCTGGAGATTCCTTTCCAGTTATTATGGGATCTTGCATATAGGAGATGGAGATGAGGATGGTCAACTTCAGAGTTAAAAACAAGAAGAATCTATGTCCTGAATTCAAGATTGTCCAGAACATGATCATAGATATTTTTGACTAAGGAATAGAATAGAAGCGAACACAACACTGTGGCTAATCCCTCTGAAAGAATCTGGAAGCAAGATTTAAATAATTAGCTTGTCACTAGATCCACTCAAGTGAAGAAACCCACAGAAACCAGGACCTTTTTTTCCCGCCTCTAACTAAATTTAGACTGTATATTTTGACAGGGCTGCCTTACCAGCCATTTTTCTCTGGAGTCATGTACCTGTTATATAACGCCTGCCTAAGGGGGCTTCTGCTTCCCATCAGGTGGAGTCACTTCACAGTTCACCATTACCTGCTCCAGAGCAAAAACGTGCTGATTAAAGTAGTATTGGATTTGCTCGTTGGCAATGTTTATGCAGAGCTGCTCAAATGAATTCCTCTGGAAGTTCTCGAATCCAAAAATATCCAGGATGCCCACATTCATACCACTGTCTGCGCTACTGTATGAGAGAGAATAGAAGTCTTTAGAGGAAGGCACACCCTGGGCAATGAGAATCTAGATGTTCTGTGTTTATCAACCAATACCTGAACCTGCTCATGGAAGGCTGCACCCCAACACCTCTAATAGAAGAAAACCTTTGCAACTTGAGTCATGGATTTATTTAGCCTTTTAACAATATTTTTTTAAACTTTTGTTTTATATTGGAAGCTCTGTCTCACATACTTTGGGCATGTGGCCAGGAGGGACCAATCCTTGGAAAAAGACATCATACTCCTTCTATGGAGGGACAGCACAGGAGAGGAAGACCCCAGATGAGATGGATTGATAAGAGTAACTAGGACAGTGGGGATAGGTGTGTCAGAGTTAGTGAGACAAGCTCAGGATAGGGCAGGCTTCAGAGCTGTTGTACATAGGGTCGCTATGAGTCACAGGTGACTCGAAGGCACATAACAACAATATTGGTTTCATTACAAAGATGTATACATTGTGTTTCACATTATTCCTCATTCACATTGTGTTTCATACAATCATTCCCATTGTGTTTTATAAAATTAATCATTATTGGACTATGCCCACCATTATCCTGTCTTTTCAGATCCCTGCCGGATCTTTCCCATAATCTTTACTTCCTCCCTCCACCCGCCAAGTTGTACAATCCTGTGATTTTGCGCCTACCTATCCTCACCTTTCTGCTCCTACCCCTTCATCTCTTGGATTCTCATTCATATCTTACTAGTTATTCTTCTACTTTTACTCAGTGACTGGGGTAATGGTGGGAAGTGTGTCAGATGACAATAAGGTTGGCACAAGATAGAGCAGGGTTCAGAGCTATTGTACATAGGGTTGTATGCAATATTTATCCTTACTGAGACTGAGTTAGTTCACTCAGTATAAAGTTCTCCAGATTCTCCCACATTATGTGGTATTTTTTAAAATCATTGCTCCTGAGTGCTGCATAGTATTTCATTGTATGAATGTTTTTAACAACATTTTCCACTTCTTTTGCTTTAAGCAGTAGAATTCTTTAAAAATTACTCAGAAGCTCCATGCACAAAACAGTTTAAAGAAGAACTGCTCTACTTGAAGATAGGACTAGATCGAGCTCTCAACTACTCACTCTTCCATCTACCTACACATTGAACTTAGAGAAAAACACGGCTTAGAATTTGTTGTCATCCATTCTTCCATAAATATCACTAACACTTTGTTGTTGTTGTTGTTGTTGTTAGATGCCATCAAGTCAGCTGCAACTCCTAGAAACTCTGTGAACAACAGACTGGAGCTTTGCCTTATTCTACACCATTGTCACTATTTCTTACATGCTAAAGCTCTGGAGAGCATTATATTAATGCTGATAGAGAGCTCTCATGACCTGGTGCTTAAGGAGTTGCACTGCCAACCCAAACAAAGGTAGACAGTTTGAATCCAGCAGCATGGGAGAAAGCTGGACAGACTCCTCCCTTGTCATTTATAGCCTCTAAAAACCCAGGAGAGGATCAGCTATGAATCAATTCTGACTCAAGGACATATAACAACAATAATACTTAGGCATGGGGCAGAAGCAATATAAGAAAATGAGCTTTCTTACATTTGAAATCTCATTTGATAAAACCTCTCATTTGATCCTAAAAACAGCTTTATGATGAAAATATTATTACTATTCCTGTGTTATAGCTGAGAAATAGAACATGCAAATAGCTAAACTGCAGAGCATGACTTCTGACATCACGTGGCTGGCTCAGGTCCTAGGCAAGCCTGTTCTCTTAAACCCACACTTTCATTCACATCTCAAGTACAAATACTCCAGCTCTCTCCTGCATGCCATTAAATCTTTCAGAAGTGTGAGCCTGAGGCTTTTACTAAAGAAAACCCAAGAGAGAACCAAAAGCTTCCTTTTTGCAAATTCCTAGAGACTCCTAGGTTGTTGACAGCTCCCCTGGGGTCTGTGCTTTGAGGAGGAACTTACCATATGTTTTTTTCTGGCTGCAGGAGTGTATTGATGCGGTTTACAATCCAGCTGAAGAGCCGCCCATATAGGGCTTTGGACATGGCGTCCCGGACGTCTGCAGCCCTGTCAACAGTGTTGGCTCGGACAATGGTTTCGCCCCTGGTGACTACACAGTGAGAGGTGAGGGCTTCCTGAAGCTCTTTAGGGCTAATACGGAGAAGAGAGGCAGCTGCAACAGCAAAGGGAGAAGATGACATTGGGTCATGTCAGTCGGCACACATATACATAAGCACTTAAGAGTTAAAGATAAAAATTCATTGTTGGGCTCTCTGGTGGCCTAGTGGCAAGAAGCTGTGGTACAATCTCAAAGGTACAGGGTTCGAATCCACCGGCTGCTTAGCTGGAGAAGAAGGGGCAATCTCCTGATCCAATTTGATGGTACACAATAAGAAAATAAACAAAAAACCAAAACTCATTGTTGAATAAGAACCGACTTAGAGCTGACTCTGCAATTGGTTTTCAGAAGCTGTAAATAGCATGAGAGGTGTATGCTCATTTACCTCCTTGGAGAAGCTAGTGGCTTTGAAATGCCCACTTTTGGATTGGCAGCTTCTTGCCCACTAGGGCACCGTTGTTGTACAGCATCAAGTCAGAACCGACCCCTAGCTGATCCTCTGTGGGTTTTCAGAGGCAGTTAATCACACAGGAGGAGACTGCCCATCCGTCTCTCATGCTGGACTTGAACCACATGTCTTCCAGATTACAGGGCAGCTTCTTGCCACTAGGCCACCATAACTCTGTGAAACTCCCTAGAAACAAGCCAGCACTTAAAAAAGAAAAAGGTAGGCCCTAAAAATCCTTGCCGTTTTACACAAAGGTTTTTACTTTATTTAAATGTCCCCCCAATTTCAAGAGTCACCTTTTGTGTGTTTCTGTAATTATATGTGGAACTTAAAAGTAAATGTCATTGTTGTTATGTACTATCAAGTAGGACCAGCTCATAGATGACCCTCTAGTGAGTTTTCAGAGACAGTAAATCACATAGGAGGAGACTGCACATCTTTCTCCCACAGAGGAGCTGGTGGATTGGAAATCCCTGCCTTTAGGTTTGCAGTGCAACTCTGTAGCACTAAGCTACCAAAGCTCTCTAAAAGTAAATAGTATCCTGCTTTCTTCCCTGAGGATGCTGCTTGCTGATGCATTGGATTCAGAGTTGGGCCCAGTTGTTTGCATTTTTTCAAAAGCTTGCAGGTGATTTTTTTAAAAGAGCTAAGATTGAGAACCACTGCCCATTGTTCCCTCCCCTGAGATTCTTTTCTGCAGCACAGAACCTATTTACAGCTGGGGAAGAACACTGATGAGCCACAGGACAGCTTTTGGGAAATACTGATGAGTGGAACCACTGACAGTCAGTAAACAGCAACAGCCACAAGTTTTAGAGTCTCAAAAAGCTACCAAATGAAAGTTCATTTTGGCAGCAGACAGTAAACAACATGAAATAATTACCATTTTTCAAAGCCTCAGCATTGGGAACTTCACTTTTATCAGTTTGATGTTGAGAAGAAATAGCAGCAAATTCAATGTTTCCAATATTCAAAATCCCAGCCAAAATTCTGTACACAGAATGCACTTCCTGGAAAAGACATTGAGAACCATGTTTGAAGGTCATTGCCAGTCAGACCAATGATGGAAACTGTAATTTCTGCATCAAAGTCTCTTCTCACCAATAGGGACACAGTTAAAGAAATTCCCCTACTGGTAGGCTGACCCTGTAACTAAATTCTTACCAATGGCACAAGCAAAATCACGTGGTCACTTTCGGTGCTAGTCCTTAGCCATGTCTCCTCCATAATTTCATAACCATTACTGTAGGCTAGAAATCCCAACATCCCAGTTTCAACCAGACTGTAGATGAGGATGCCTTTGACGACTGATGGACAGAAGCTGCTCTGTGACCTGAATCACTTACCTTAAAATAATTAGTCAAGAGAGCACTGGTCTTTTACACTCATATTAGCTCCCAAAGTTAGGAACCATACTTTCTTCTTCAAAGCAAGGGAGACATTTCCTTAGCTTATGAATATTAAACACTTAATGTCTAGATAATTCCAATTCATACCAATCCCATGTGTGTCAGAGTAGAACTGTGGCCACAGGGCTTTTAGTGGCTGGTTTATCAGCAGTAGATCATTTGGCCTTTCTTCTGAGATATTTTTAGACGGACTCTAACCTCCAGCCTCTTGATCAGTAACTGAACACATTAACAATTTGTACCACACTGACATTCCCTTTGAAAATAGGTTGTATACATAATCAATATCTTTAGTACCAGCAGTCAAGAAGTCAGAAGAAGATGTGTTGCATTAGGAAAATCTACTGTCAAGGACCTCTCCAAAGTGCAAAGGAGCAGCGATGTCAGTTTAAAATCTAAGGCACATCTGACTGAAGCCAGGGTCTTTTCAATTACTTCCTACGCATCTGAAAGTTTGGCAGTGAATAAGGAAGACAGAAGAAGAACTGATGCATCTGAGTTGGGTTGGAGAAGAGTACAGAATATCGCATAGACTCTAGAAAGAAGAGATATGTCTTGGAGAAAAATGTAGCCCGAGTGTACCTTGGAGGCAAAGATGATAGAGCTTCATCTCACTTTGTGCATGTTGTTGTTAGGTACCATCAACTCAAGTATGACCATAGTGACCGTAGGCACAACAGATCTGAACCCAGTCCCATTCTGTACCATCCGCATATTTCCTGACACGTTAGAGCCCATTGTGGCGGTCATCATGTCAATCCACATGGTTGAGGGTCTTCCTCTCTTTCACTGACCCTTTCTCTACCTTTGTAAGCATCACATCCCTCTATAAAGAACAGACCCTACTAGCAACGTGCCCAAAGTATGTGAGGTCTCATCATCCTTGTCTCAAAAGACCACTCCAGCTGCACCCGCCTCAAGACATATTTGGGGTTTTAGCCATCCATGGGATGTTCGGTGTTCTTCTCCAACACTGTAGCTCAAAGGCATCAATTCTTATGTAATCCTTATTTTCTAGTGCTCAGTTGCATAGCAAGTGATCAAAAAGGGCATAACCTGAATCAAACACACCTTAGGCCTCAAACTGATATCATTACTTCTCAATAATTTGGAGAGGTCCCTAATTGCAGACTTTTCCAGTGCAATATGTCTCCTGATTTTAGGAAGTGCCATATGAGCAGGAGTCAATGGTAATGAATGAGAAGGTAGAAGCTGCACTATAGACACTGGTTAAAAAAAAGGCTCTAGGAATTGATGGGAAACCAACAGACTTGTTTCAATTAACAGATACAAACTTAGATGTGTTCACATGTCTATGCCAGGAAATTTGGAGGACAGTTGTCTGGTCATTGATTGGAAAAGGTTCATATTTATTCCCATTCCAAAAAAAGGTGATCCAACAGAATGTGGAAACTATAGAACAATATTAATATCACATGCAAGCAAATACTACTGAAAACTATTTGAAAACTCCTAGAACAGTACATAGACTGGTAACTGATAGAAATTCAGGCAGGATTTAGAAGAGGCCATAGCACCAGGGAAATCATTGCTAATGTCAGATAGATCCTAACTGAAAGTAAAGACTACCAAAAGAATGTCTATTTATGCTTTATTGACTATGCGAAGGCATTTAACTGTGTGGATCATAACAAGTTATGGCTAACATGAAGAAGAATGGCAATCTCAGAGCACTTAATTGTGCTTATGTGAAACCTATACCTAGACCAGAAAGCTGCTATGCAAACAGAGCAATAAAAGACTACATGGTTTAAAAGTAAGAAGGGAGCACGTCAAAGTTGTATTCTCCCTCCACACTTATTCAATCTGTTTGCTGAGTAAATTATTCTAGAAACTGGACCCTAAGAAGAGGAATGTGCCATCAGGACTTGAGAGAGACTCATAAATAACCTGCATTATGCAAGGTGACACAACCTTGCTTGCTGAAAGTGAGGAGGACTTAAAGCACTTGTTGCAGAAGATCAAACAATATAGCCTTCAATATGGATTGCATCTCAATATCAAGAAAACAAAGATTCTGACCACTAAACCTATAGGCAACATCATAATGAATGAGAAAAGACTGACACTGTCAACAATTTCATTTTACATGAATCCAAAATTAACACCCTGTCAAGATCCTGTCAAGGACCTCTCAAAAGTACTGAGAAGCAATGATGTCAGTCTAAAGACTAAAGTGTGCCTGATCCAGGCCATGGTCTTCACAATTACTTGCTATGCATCAGAGAGCTGGACAATGATTAAGGATGACAGAAGAAGAATCAATGCCTTTGAGCTGTGGTGTTGGGGAAAAGAAGAGTCTTGAAAATACCATGGACCACCTGTCCTGCAGAGTTTGAAACCAATTTTCTCCTTGGAGGCTAGGTTTTGGAAGCTCCATCTCATACACTTTGTACACTTGGCAAGAAGAGACCAGTCCTTGGGGAAGGACATCATGCTTGGAAGGGTAGAAGGACAGCACAGGAGAGGAAGATCCCAGATGTGATGGATTGATGCAGTAACTGAGGCAATGAGGGTAAAGGTATCAGGGTCAATGAGACTAGTCCAGCACAGTGCAGACTTCAGGGCTGTTGTACACAGGCTCGCTATGAGTCACACGCAACTCAACGACTCATAGCAACAACAACGAGCAGTCTAAAAATCCAGAGATGTATTGCACTAGGCATGTTGTTGTTGTTGTTATGTGCCATCGAGTCATTTGCAACTCATAGCGATCCTATGTACAACAGCCCTATACCCTGCTCTATCCTGTGCCAAT